TAGAAAAATTATCCAGGTGTGGTGGTGCACATCTGTAGTCCCAGCTACTCAGGAGGCTGAGGCAGGAGGGTCGCTTCAGTCTCGGAGTTGGAGGCTGCGATGAGCTGTGATCATATCACTGCACTCCAGCCTGGGTGACAGAGTGAGACCTTGATTCAAAAAAATAAATAGTAGAATTTACCATCAGCTGAGTACTGTTTGATATTCTGTGGAGGATACAAACACCACCACTTCCAGTGCGGAGAGACTCCTTATGCAGAATTCAATGGCCAGTACTCAGTGATATCTTAAGAAATCATCTAGTCTAATCTCCCATTACTTAGAAGAGGAAGCGGAGGCCTGAAGACTCACACACAGTTAGTGGGGATCTGGGGCCAGGTCCTTTGAGTACTTTCTTTACCATCCCACAAAATCAACGATGACAAAATCAAGAAAACCATGCCGATACTTACTGCATGGATTGTAGGTCCTCATGGGGGCAGAAAGAGGGGGATTAACATGAGCTGGAAGAGTAAAAGAAAGCTTGGATGAATGAAACTTTAGGGATGAGAAGATCTGGCAGAGTGGGATCAGGAAGGATCATTAAGTTTGCTAGTCTAAAAGAGACCCGGAATTTAGTCCCAGACCCACTCCTTTCCAGAGATAAGAGCTCAGGTAATAATTGAGACTCTATGAGCCTCAGTCTCCTCTGTGTAGAGACAGGATGATATGGGAGTTAGCATCCCAGACTCCAGAGCCCCATACCTCTGCTTTGTAAACTTGGGCGAGTTAATTAATCTCTCAAGGAATAAGTTTCTTCATCTGTAAAATGGGGTTGAAGGCAGTATTATACCTAAACTCTCAGGGCTCTTTAGAGAATTAAACAACTCTCATAAAGCACTTTTAATCTGGTACATAGTAAGTACTATACAATGTTTGCTGTTATGTCATCATTACATAGAATAAAATTTCTGAAGTTGATTCGAGGATCCACATTATGTGATACTGAAATGGAGTCTGTGGGCGCTCTGTGTAGCCTGGTGTTTAATGAAAATGCAGACATAAGACACATCCAGCCTACACAACAGGAATCTCAGAGAGTTTCCAGTGTGTGCTCCCAGCCTGAGAGCATTGGCCCTGTTTAACAGGCCAGGCCTCCAGCAAGCAGATGCCCTGTTTGCCTTGATGGTGCTAGACTGTTTTCAGGACTGGTTTGATTTCCTCAGCAGGTGCGTTAGTAACAGGGGGAATTGGTTGGACTATTTTTTTGTTCTCCCTGAGATGAAGCCAAGTCATGACAATAACCATGACCTCAGACAGTTTCTGTCCATTGGGCTCCATTGTTCAATCTTGGAAGTGCGACTGGAGTGGGACATAATAGGTTTTCACATATTATGAGAGATAAGAAATAAGAGAGAAGGGCTCATGCTGACAAGTGGATGAAATCAACTTGGGGAAGATGGGCAGAGGCAAGCCAGAGGGGCCCTATCTCCTGCTTGGAAAGGGAGTCAAGGTGAAAAAACACTCAGGATAATTTAGAGGGGCTGGTGGGAACCGGTTTGGGGGCCTTTATAGGGGATTCTAGATATATAAAAAGACTTGTTCGCCATTCTCTGCCAAGAAAAGATATCTCCTTGGCCAAAGGTACAGCGCTGAGCGGTAAATTGTGAAACTGTGACACAGGAAGGGAAGACTGGTGATGGTGATGATGACAACGACTTAATATTTATGGAGCTTTTAGTATTTTCCAGACACTGAGCTAAGTACTTCATGAGCAGTGACCTATATTGACCTCTCCACAGTCCTATGAGGGAGGGTCTCTTTTTAGCCTTGTTTTACATAAAAAGAAATTGTTCTTGAAAGAAGTTACATGGTTATTAGGCAGTGCAGTCGAGATTGGAATCAAGACTCCAGTTTAGAAACTGATTTGTGAGTGAGTGAGTGTGTGTGTGTGTGTGTGTGTGTGTGTGTGTGTGTCGGAGTCTCAATCTGTTGCCCAGGCTGGAGTGCAGTGGCACGCTCATGGCCACCACAGCCTCAACCTGCTG